ATTCCTTCATGGTTCTCCATTTATGATATTCTAAATAAGCAGATTTATTTTCTATCAAATACTTTAAATGGTCTGCAAGAGCCTTGACATTCGGAAAATCTTCAATAAAAATGGCAGATTCAGGATGTGGTAGGTGCGAACGAATATTAGGAGCACCCCATATAATAGGTACGGATCCAGATTTAAATACGTCCCAAAGTTTATCAGTTGTATAATCTTTTTCTTGGGATGTTTCAATATATAAATGAAAGGGGTACTTAGAAATAATACAAAGTTTTAATTCATAGGAATCTGAATTTGCACATTCTGGATGAATATCGAAATTAGTATTCCAGTGAACACTACCAAAAGATGCAATAGGAATATGTTCTTGAAGGGATGGAATCCAGGATTCTCGGAATTTCGTCCAATGGGATGCAATAAAGGAAATTGCTGGTATGTTTGAAGGGTGTTTTTCTATGTCATAAGGTTGTTTTGTTCGCCATTTCTCTGGATCTCTTATAAAACTTGTAGGTACTTCTGAATCCTCGTCAAATGTCACATGGATATCGAATTGTTTCCTCTTATCATGATACTGTGGATAATACGCTACAGGATCTAAAGTATATTGTATGAGCTTTTGTCCTCTCCAAGCTTTTGATTTTAATGGGGTTGGTTGGTTAACATAAAAGATGGCATCGGCCGTTTCAAGCTCTGCAGATGTTAAATCTTCTATGCGTGTTTCATTCCAGGTACATGGTACTTCACAAGATGACAAGGTTTTATCAAATTTATACTTAAGTTTCACAGAGTCATCACTTTTGTAACTATCTTTTTGCGTTACATAAATCATTACTTTCTGTTCATTATTTAAATAGCTTACTAAATAATGCAATCGTTTCCATTCTTCAAGGTTAGTAGGCTTAGCGCTAAGTTCATTCGCAAATGGAACCATGTGGCTCGGTTTAATAGTGTTGTCATCTGAGTATAGTTTGAGAAGAGTGAAGGAAAAAAGTGAAAAGATTAATAATGATGAGATGTAAAGAATCCATTTGTTGTTTTTAACGTTTAGAGAGTTTAGAACAGCAGACATGTTAACGTAATTTTGTTGTACGCACAAAGTTAAAATGATTTTTTATATTGTTAACGGTTTGTGTGCCAAATAGAAGTGATACACTTAACAAACATATAAGTATACCCCACGTACGACGTTAATTATTTTGTGCAACATTTTGGGTTGTTTCACGACTTTTTCAGGCATGATTTACAAATTCGTTAGGTTACACAAAATATTGCTAATGCTAGAGACGAAACGAGTAAGCGTAAAAAAAATTAGTGAAGTGAAAAGCCTGTCAACGAAGTGACAGGGCGATCATTATTGCGAAATCAGATGACTTTATGATCGGGCATATTACAGGTTTAAATGTATCCTTTTATGTTATTCTTTGATTATTGTTGTTATATGTGGAAACTTGTTTTTGTGCAGGTAATTTGTGATTAGCATATGATTTTCAAAGTGCTCATTGTTGTGTTTATTGTTAGATCGGTACAGGGGTTAGGGACAATGGCAAGCAGGATATTTAAGGCTGATTGTCTTTTGGGAAGAAAGTATCCTTTTTCTTCGCTATCGCTCGCCTTTGTAGAGGCTGGCTCTATCCCCTCCCTTACCCACCCGAAGTCGAGCAAGTGAAAATGATGTTATGCCAGGCTCCACGGCTGCTGTAAATTTAAATATCTGCTTTTTGCTTTTTGGTGTGTTTCACTCTCATGATGAGATTTAATAAAACTAACATTATTAAAGTTAACACTATGATTGCAAAAATGATGTATAAAATATTATTTTCTGCATAAAAATTATCAGAATATTCTCTTGCCCAGAAAATAGCTGAAATAGTCTTTTTCATGTCATGTAAGTTACAGGAAGATAAAGTAAAAATAGTTAAAATTTTTTGTCTTTTTATCTTAAACTGTAAATAAATTTGATCTGATTTCTAGATTAGATGGTTATTAAAATTTAAGAATTTTATAAATTTTGTACACATTATCCAAAATTTATAAAATTTTCAAACTTCAATAACTATACTAATTTGAAATAGCAATAAGTATACGTATAAATATTTTTAAGATTTCATATGTATAATCTTAGCAATTTCCTGAATATTCTATATTTAGATTAATTAATTCCTTCTGTTATTTAATAATGAACTTTTAATTATTTTTTTTTGGTTAATGCTAAAAAAAAATTAACATATGTAGATACTTTTTTAGTATGATTTAATTAAATAACTGATTTTATGTTGTATTTTTTATATTTCCAAGTATTATTTCAAAATATGCGTTTCAAAGCCTAAAATTCATATCAAAAGTTTGTTAGATAGTTAAACTACATATTAAATATTTTAACTACATACATATGGTACAATTTGATTGACCAATAATCAGCTATTAGCCAATCAAAACTTGCATTATAGGTTATACAAAATCATGTAAGCTTCAATCGTATAAATTTGTATTAATTTGTTTTATCAACTATCACTATGATTTGTATTAATTTGGATTAATTTATATACAAATTTTTCCGTGTCTCTGGAACTGGTCTTATTAGGACCAAATAGACTGGACCGAACTAATCTATCTTTATTTACGTGATGTGTAATGATAATTAAAATCATTAAACAATTTATTCTGTATTTCATGCAGCAAGATGAAAATTCATTTTGATTGGGCATGTGACAATTGTCGATCATTCAACATTAGCCAATCAAATTGCAACACGTTTACAAAAAATGCAATTTTTGAGCGATTTCGCTCATATAATGATAATCATAACACGTTAAATATTAATTGTCATTATTTTAACTACAAGTTCATAAGTATTTTTTATTATATTTGAAAACTTGAGATTGAATGAGATCGAATGTTCTGCCAAGTTTTCATAGTACTAACTTTTTATAATTTTTTAAAAATTTACCAATCGTTAAC